TGGTTGTGTTCCCTTTGAGAGTCTCTGAAAGTTACCAACAGATGGGAAACTATATCAGAGAGGCTGTCTCCCTTATTTGGCTTTCTTTGCCCTCTACTATCGATCATTCTACGAAATCAGGTTTTTGTATGAAAGTGGAGGCTGGAATTGAGGTTAACCCATGACCTATTCTTTGGAAATAAAGTCAAGCCCTAATCTTTTCACTATGATCAAAAGAAAGGAAAGGGAAAAAAAAAAAAGACAGGTATAAGTCAACCTTGCCTTTAAATACTACAGATGAAAACAAAGCTTATTTTGTTTTCCTTAGGTTGAAACTTTATGTTCCTCTTGTTACCGATTTGAACACTGCTTTAGATGGAAACAAAACAACAGTATTTTTTTAGTGGCAGTATTTTGTGCTTCTTGAAGACTTTTTAGAATATCTTCATCCCACTCAACCAGACACTGTTTCAAATACCTTTTTTCTCTGTCTCCTTAATGAGAGCACTTTGTGTTTTACGCAGTTCTTTCCACCTGAGGACCTTCACCACGTTGGCTGCTTATGATTTGCTACCAGATGGTGGTGGCACAACTGTCATGCCTCTTGTCTTCTGTCTGTGCAGAAGCCGGCGGTAAAAAGCTCCGGAGCACCGTCCAGCGAAGTACAGAGACGGGCCTGGCTGTGGAAATGAGGAACTGGATGACTCGGCAGGCGAGCCGAGAATCTACGGACGGCAGCATGAACAGCTATAGCTCAGAAGGAAAGTGAGTGAGGCCAGCGTGACGCGCGTCTCTTCCGTGCCTTTGCCTGAGACCATCTTCTGTCTCACTCTCTGCCCTTTCCCAGAAGCTAACTCACACACTCCACAGCGCCACTTTCACGTTCCCTGGCTGATTTGCTGTGAGGAGGACTTCTTTTTTGTTCACCTGCCACTGAGAAATGTGACCCATGTGGCTTTTTATATCAAAGGAGATAGATTTGGGGACAAAGTGTCTTGCTTTAACAGCGAGACGCTAAAATGTGACTGTCACAGCACAGGCACATGAAAGTTTGCCCTCGCTTGACATAATATGGAGAAAGAATAAGACAGAATAAGCCCTCGTGCCACACCACATGAGCAATGCTAATTTTTAAAATCTTGGCTCTTATTACTAAAAATTATAGAATGCCGGATACATACTTAGTTCCACGAAGTAACAAGCAGTTCAGACCGATGTAACGCCACAAAGTAAGCTGGTGAGCCTCTCCTTTATGTAGTTAGCATATAGCTTTTCCTTGAATCAGCTGTATCTGAGATATTTTCAAAGCATTTGTCAAGATTGTGTAGCCCTGTCACCCACAAATTGATGATAATTAGCAACTGCGGATCCAGAGATGGGTGTGTTAAAGGACACCACTAGACGAAGGTGGCGTTTGCTGACTCCACTCTGTCATCACCACGGAGCATCAGATGTTCAGACAACGTGCGTGTAGCCAGTTCACAGACATGTTACCATAGGAACTGCTGGCCGATTATCGATGATATGCCACAGGGAACGTTTGTGTAGCAAGATCATATAAAATACAAGAGATATGTATGGTCTCCATACCTTTTTAAATAAGGTTATATGGGATACTTATAGAAACATCAAAATATTTGGATTAACTGTATTGGGAATTAAGGCTGGCAGCAGAAATAGATTTGATATTCATCAAGGAAGTCTTAGATGGAGAATGAAGTGGAAAATGTGCATTGCAGAGTGCTGTGATAGATACTGTTAGGGACACAAAAATATCCAGACTGGGGCCTCTGGCACCCCAGCTGTTTATATAATATTGGGAAAATGGGATGAATACTCATAAACTCATTCAATAAATATTTTCATGCCTTCCAGGGCTCTAGGCACTGTGCTGAGTAAGGGATATAATTCATACAAGGGAGCCAAAATCAGTCGTTAAGACCATGGGCTTTAGAACCACCCAGGCTTAAGTTCTCATCTGTTTCTTGATACTGTAGAAACTTGGGCAAGTTTTTCTCAGCTTCGTTTGAATTAACTGAGCTTAACAAGTATTCATTAAGTGCTTACAATATTCTAGACATGGTTCTAGGTGCTGGAGATACAGAATAAAATAAAACGAAAAACAAACCCTACCCTCACCAAATTTACAGTCAATAGATAAGATGCACAAAAAATAAGCAAAGTTGTTAAAATATATATATATATATATATATATATATATATATATATAGAAAATTAGTAAAGCATATAGTAGATTAGATAATGTAAGTGCTAAGGAGAAGAAAGAAAGGAAGAGAGACGACAGAGGGTAAGCGTAGGTTTTTTGTAAGGTAGACAGGGAAAAGGACATATTTGAGTAAAGATTTGAAGGATATGGACATTTGAGGGAAAAACATTGCAGGCTGAAGCAGTGCTGAGGCCCTGAGGCAGCATTCGCCTGGCATCAGCAGTGGGAAGGACAGCGCGGCAGACTAAGGGCAGGAGTAGTAACAGACTAGGAATTAAGACAGTGGGGGCAGGGTGGACAGCTCAGATGGTCTTTATATATCGTTGTGAGGACTTTGCTCTTACCCTGAGAGGGATTAGAAACCAGTAGAGGACTTGAGCAGAGTCCTGATATCATCTGACTTTCATTTTAACAGATCACTCTGATTGCTATGGAGGTGGAAAGTAAATTTGGCCACAGAGAGATCATTCCGAAGGCTGTTCAGTAACACCAACGATAGAAAATAATGGCTTAGACCACAGTGGTATCATTAGTGAGGACAGATTCTGGATGTATTTTGACAGTAGAGCCAATAAGAGTTAATTGATATATTTGATGTAAGTGATGAGAGAAAGGGGGTGTATTCGTTTGCTAGGGCTGCCCTAACAAAATACCAAAGATTGGATAATTTAAACAACAGAAATTCATTTTCTTAGAGTTCTGGAGGCTAGAAGTCCAAGGTCAAGGTGTTATCAGGTTTGGTTTCTCCTGAGGCCTCTCTCCTTGACTTGCAGATGGCCTCCTCCTCAGCATGTGCTTACATGGTATTTCTTCTATGCATGCATACCCCTGATGTCTCTTCTTATTGTTCTTCTCCTTCTTTTTAATGTTTTTATTTATTTACGTATTTGGAGAGAGAGAGTGAGTACAGGCAGGGGAAGAACAGAGAGAGAGGGAGAGAGAGAATCCTAAGCAGGCTTTGTACTGTCAGCACAAAGCTCGATGTGGGGCTTGAACCCATGAACCACGAGATCATGACCTGAG